GTGAGATTTAGAATTTTGGGCAAAATTAGGAATTTTTGTTTCGACTGAGTTTGGGCTAAGGTTAAGGCTAGATCAAGGCCAATTGAGAGCTTAATTTGATCTATGGGATTGTTATGAAGAGTTTAGGAACTGGATTTTGGGAAATTGGTTGGGTTAGGGCATTCAATTTGGTGGAATCGTGGCTCATGGTAAAATTGGGGGTTTAAATTAGCCATGGAAATTGAGGTGAATTGGGCTTTAAATAAGTTTCATTGGGTCTATACATGATGAAATTGAATTTAGATTTGAAATTGGGGAAATTTAAAATCAATTTGGTAGAATTTGGGAGTGATTTGGACACTTTAGGCATTTTAGGAAAAAATTAGGATTTTACTCAAAATTGATTAATTTGGTCAAATTAGGTCCAATAGGTGGCTAAGACTGGTTTTGGGGGCATTTGGAATGATTTAGGAGGTTTTGGAAAATTTTGGTCCATGAGGGGCATTTTGATAATTTTTGCAATTTTGGGGGTATTTTTGGAATTTTTTAAATTTTGAGGTTTTTGGGAAATTTGTGTGAATTGAAATGGTTTGGGATGATTTTTTGACAAAATTTGAGGATTTTGGAAAATTTTGAAAATTTAGGGTTGTTGGGGCCATTTGGTAATTTTAGGAAAGTTTGGGTCAAAAGACTAAATTGGTTATTTGGGTAGGATGAGATTAATTAAGGATGCTAACCACAATAATTAACCTTATGGTGCCATGAGATCAAGGGAGCTCCTACTTTGGATCCTCCATTTCCTGGTCTTAGCCAAACCCTAGCCTAGGGTTAAGGGTTTAGGGGACCATCCACATGAGTTTCCAAAAGTGTAAGGGATCATGCTAAGCATGTTAGGTTAAGGGTTTGGGGTGCGAGTGAAGGTGAGGGGTATCAAGTTTGTGCATGCAAAACTGACCAAGGCCACACAACCCATGGCTACTCTTAAGGCCAAACATTCCTATGGGGACTCTTTTTGAGCTCCCCCATATTGGCTCCACCTACTAAGTGCTAGAGGATTGAACCAACATATGGAACTTCAAGAGAGCAATGAGACATTTGGGATTTCTAATGTTGATGGTTCCCTTAATAGTCCTCTAGGAATTTTCACCAAGAAAATCCTATGGCAAGATTTTAGGGTTCTAAGGAACAAAGAGTAGACTTCAACAAAAAGTGAGGTCAACAGTAACACACGATATAAACTCACTCCTTTGCTTGTAATAAAATTTGTCTTTTCAGGGCTAGCTCGATGCATGTTAATCTAATCATTACTGGTGAAGTAATTAAGGAAGCTAATCACAAAATAATTGACCACAACATATACGAATGCATCGATCTGTGTTTGGTGTTAGCTATCCTTTGAGAAAGTAATATTTAGATTGGTGAAGTATATACAAATCCTCTACTTGTCATTCAATTTCTTCACCATGAAAATTTTTTACACCCATAGTAGGTATAAGATAATGTAACTGGTCTCCAATATCTTTTTGACCTTCTCTCAATTTTGGTCGGTTAGGGTGACAGCCAAGATCCTCAATTTTGCTTCATCAGTCAAGTTGTTAGTTTTCAATTTAAGTAATGTTAAGCAATGTTGATTGTTGTCTCATGCATCTCGGTGGTAGACCAAGTAAGAACATCTTGATGGTTCTATAGGGTGTTGATCAACACTTCATTGTAAACAGCATTAAAAGCTTCACTTAGTAGAAAGATCTACTAGCATCAAATTCGGCTGTCGGTGGCTAATGGGTAGCCTAGCTAGATGACCCCATTCTTGCATGTTCTCAAGCTCAAGGGCTCCTACCTGAAGCTTTTGAAAAACCAAACAAAACATGCTCAACATTATTTGAGATCACCACAGACAGTGATCACCTCTCCGTCACTAGAGAAATTCTTAGCTACATGGTAGTAGTGGTGACAGTCAACAAAGAATTGGTATGACATTACTGAAGATAACATATAGGTGGGTGGTGAGATGACCATTATGAAGTCCACCAAATTGGTGAACTTCTTGACATTTTTTCCCCAAATTACTAATAAAGTGCTGGTTCAAAATGTCTCTTTCCTCTCACAAAAAAATATAGGGAGGCCCAACCATAGCTATTAGTCACTTGCTTCCGAGGCCCATCTTATCGAGCTACTACCATTATGGTAGTTGGTAACCAATGCAATAGCAATTTTGTTCTAGCTAGAGGTTTGCCTTAAGGGGAAAATCTTTATTGTTGAAGATTATGAAAGGATGTAAGATGTGTTTGGGTGCAAGAGAGGTTGCTCATTGTGCTCTCAATCAAAGCTTTTTCGGGTTACATCAGTGGAATAGGCCTACACCTCCTCCATAGATTAAAAAAAATATCGAAATGATTAGAATTTTGTGGACTCAGATTGGCTTATTCAATATTTTATTAATTGATCCTTCCCTTGCCACTGGATTATTGCTCCTTACACATAAAACTCCATTAACCTGCTCGATTTGATTTTGTTCTTACTCAAGCCTTAAAAATTTCCATAATCCTCCATTTTGCTATAAAGTTCATGTATTAGGCACTAAAGTTCTTAAGATTTTAAAGGTAAACTCTATTCTTCATTGGGGGCGCTCATTTGGAATAATTTTATTTATATGGCTAATACTATCACAACCATCAAAACTCTCAATAAAGTTACTTTGGGTGTTTCATGGTCGGGTAGCAGACGCTCGTCAGACCAAACTCAATGTTAATTAGGATATCATGCCTGATTCCCTCTGTGGTGCATTATATCAGTAGCTCTATATTCTAAGGGCATTTATCAAAGTTGGTTGATAAGACTTGAATTATGTCTAATCTTCCAACCTTCACCTTGGGTAGTCGTTTTTTAAAGGGCGGAGGATTCTCCATTGGATGAGGTTGGGTAGGAGTTATATTTCATAGTTGATATATGATTATTGGCTAACTCCAGCATTTTATTTAATATCATTGGTTGCTACAGATCTAATGTATATAAAATTATCCTTCAATCAACCATTGAGCTACGACATCATGGGTGAACGCAGGTTTAATGTGCCATCTCTAAATGTGGCCGATAAATGAAATAAAAATCTTGTTCAATCCTTCGCAAAACTGTAGAAGAGCCAGAAAGTTTTTCAGAGACTTTTGCCCACTAAAAATTGTGCTATAAAGAAACACTCAAAAATAACAAATGACATGATTACTCCAAGCGGTATTATGTTGTACCACCTAAGGGCCAATTCTCTAAGCTTAGTGGAGAAAGGATAGCACTGTTGAACAACCTAAGGGCCAATTCTCTAAGTGTGATGGAGAGAAGATAGCATTTCAGTGAATTAGTAATTCTTAATAAATGCACAGTTACCTCAAATAAGGCAGTGGGTTGACCAAATCGGTCCACCTCTTGTCCGACATTGGGTAATTGAATTACTTCAGAGTCTAGACTATAGTAATTTTCAACTAGAAAATAATTTTGAGCTGACGGGGTTCCTAAAAAAACCTGAATTAATAACAATCAATTGGTGTTAAACAAGCATTTTCAATGTATTGGGAAACAATCCTTCTTCAAAGCTGGAGGGACTCTTCTATCATTGGTGTCAACCCTTTATCTTGAGATTGTTGATTTCTCTCTTGGGTTAACATGCCTTGGATGACATCCAATGTATGATCTTTCTAATCTTGGATCTACTGGGCCACATATTCTATGGTGCACTCCATTTTAGCGGTGTAACTATTATGTTCTTCTGCTTAGGTTACTCATCTTCATTTTTATGGCATGATCCACATTCACCGCACCTTTTAGTATGTTGAATCTAGACTTATCTATGGGTCAAAGCCAAGGAATAGAGTGTAAAAAAATAGGGATAGAGAGTGAGAGAGTGAGATAGAAAGAGAGGAATGGACAATAATCAACCATGGCTTATTCAAAAAATAATCCCCTTATTGGTAGAGGAGATGATACAATTCTTATTTTACTTTTTTGCTCCACTTTTAAGGTGGTCCATATAAGGATATTTGTCGTCCTACTACTTTTGTCACTAGAAACTAAGCTTAATTGGGTTTGGGTTGACGAGTTTAGTTCTGTCGGCTGAGCTTGTTCTGTATTGTCGGACGCCTTATATGGCTTGGCTGTTGGTTCTTAAGGCTTGGTAAGGAGCCTCTACAATCTACTTGGGATGATTGGAGATACTGAGGAACTGGATCTTTTCTTGAATCTGATCTACTATTGGGTAGGCTAGCACATTGGGTAAGTTTTCATGTAGTGGTTAGCTCAGATGTCCATTTTTCTAGTTTCTTGCCAAATGGTCCATGCTTTGATCATCTAGTTGTTGTTTTGATCGCCACATGGTCTGCTTTGTTTTTACCTTATCATCTTGGCTCGTAAGGTTTGCTCAGTCAGTCATGTGGATCTCATGATATCTTGGTATTGGGCTAGCCTTTCTTGTACTCCTTTCTTCTAGATTATTTGATTTTCTAAAGATCAATGCTTACACATTTTTCATTTACCTCTAGAGAAAAAAAGAATTAAATATAACTTATAAAATTTGAATCAGTTCTTAGATTCACACTCATCATTCAAATGATTATCTAATAACTGCTAATTTGCTTATGTAAAATTCTTAAAATAGTTCAAGTGATGTCATTGAATGCAACGACGTTCGGGTTGACGTCCGCGCTGAACAAGGCATCGGGTTCAAGGTCGGGATTAGGATGTTGGGAGCTGTTTTGAAAGAACAAAAAAGACGTTTTTCCAATTTTATGTTTTTTGAAAACAGAATACTTTAGTTTGAAAATGAAATAAAAAAATAAAATACACTAAATAAACATATTTTTTTTTGTTTTTCTTCTATTTTTATAAACTAAAATAAAAAGAAAACAAAAAACGAAAAAGAAAACAAAAAACGAAAGATAACAAAAAGTGATCTTAAACACTACCAATATTTGTCATTTTGATTGCTTTGCTTGTAATGGCAGTTTAATATGACTCTTTAGTTGAATCCTGTGCAGTGTATTTGGATGCGCTTTTATAGTTGGAGGTCTTTACGGCGTGCTCTGGGGAAAGAGTAGAGATAACATACCAAGTGGAGCACCCATAGAAAGTGCGGGAGAAGACCTAAAGATTGGTAATGAATTTAATATTGAAGAAGGGAAATGATGAGCTACCAATAGTGCAAAATCAACGAGGTTGCTGGTTTGTTGAAGCGAAAGGGAAGAAATAAAACAAGAATTAATATTATAATGTCAACATAAATTTAATGAAACTTGTTGGGATTTTCACCTTCTTTCATTTTTTCTCTTTAGTTGATCAAACCAATCGGAGCTTAGACGAGAGAGAGAGAGAGAGAGAGAGAGACGCCACTATAAAGAACAATATTTACTTATGGGACGTAGGAATAATCATGATTCATGCATGCCTACTTTCCTTGGGCATTACAAGTTGATTGATTCTTCTGATGTTGAAACTGTCTTATTTTAGTAAATCTTGTGTTAAAACAAACTGTATTATTTGGTATATTAAATTTGAAATAAAATTTTAATGGTGATAACTAGCTAATTCAGAAATCAATCATAAAAAAGAAAATTCAAAATCAACCGTGTTTATTAAAGACGATGGCAGATTTACTTCTATCTCAACTTTACTTTATAAATTTTTATTTAAATTTTTGAGAAGTCCACATAGTTCATCCAATATGGTAACGGTACGTAGTTGCTAGCTAAACTGTTAGCAATGAGCACAAGTAAAAACATTACGCTAAATTTGCCAATATTTTTTTCCGTTTTTCTCATGAGTAAGAAATCTCAAGGTGGTTGGATGGCTTTGGTCGAACTTCATCTTATAAGTTAAAGCTCGGCAAAAATCATCGCTATAATTCAAGACTCCTTTTTAATTCAAGTCTGATGATAGCATCTGTATAATTTAACATATGTAATTTAAGATATGTTTTCTCCTTTAAAAACCTATAATCAGCTGTTTTTTACATCTTTTTTCAAATTTAAGCTTTCTAAATTAAGTTATTTATGTTATACTTTTTGAATCCAAGCCATTTAGAGGTAATTTATACTTGATGCAAGTTTATTGGAACTTTAAAATGCAATAAGTTTTTTTAATTATATTATTTCACATCAGAGATAATGGCTTGGTGGTCAATCTATGTTTAAAATTTTACCATCAACCCAATGCAAGACATAACTCGAGCTACTTATCATTATCATGAATATCAACTACATCAGCATCATCATCATCATCATCTTCATTTTCAACATTGTTGGCGTCATCATTACTATCATCATTATCACTATCATTATGATGCTAATCAACGTTGGATTGCTTGGTGGTCCATCCATCATTGAATTTTGAGCTTCAACTCCACTTAAACCCACATCATCACCATTATCTTTTTTCTTCTTATTTATATTCGTCTATTAATCAACCTCATCATGAGTATCATCATCATCATCAACAACACATTTGATGTTTTTTTGAACATTATTATCATTAAAATTTCCATTATCAAAATTATCACCATCATCGTTATCATCATTGTCATCATCATAAACATAGTCATTTTCATCTTCATCATCATCTACAATAGTAACAACAATATTATCATAATCAATAAGATCAAGACTTTTTCATCCTAATCATCATCATTTTCCTAATCACCATCATCATCATCTTCTTCCTGATCATCATAATCATCATCATCATTATCATGATCATCATAACCACCACCATCATTATCAACAACAAAGGCATCATCACCATCCGTATCAATATCATCATCTTAATTATGATCATCTTCCTCATTGTCAGCATTATTACCATCATCATCATCTTAAGTATAAACTTCTTCTTCTTCTTTGTCTTCTTCTATTGCTAGCATCATCATCTTTATCTTATTTTTCTTTTTTTTCTTCTTCAATAATTTTTTTTTTCTCATTAGCATCCTTATCATCTCTCCTTCTTGCTTGATAACCATCAAAAAATATTATATAAATATTTAACTTTAGTTTGCATAAATAGGATTATATAAGCAAAGACTACATAAATATAACTGCAAAAGTGAAATTAGGCAAAGATCAATGTACTCATTTGTCCCTTCTTTTTAAGTTTAAAATAAAAGTTCAATCATTTATCATACATTTTCTCAGGCATCCTTTAGTGATAAAAAATATTGGATATAATTTAAAATAAAAAATTTCTATATTTATATGAATTATTACAAGAGATTAAGAATACATAAATGATGATAAGATGTATAAATGCAAAAAAGGGATGGATTCCTTGTAAATGTTTTATTTTAATTATATCATCTTTCAATTTGAGTGATTTAAATTAAGCTTTGAATACAATTACAAGTCATAAGACATTTTTTTTTATATAAAATTAGGCTAAAATACTTTAATAAAAGTATTATGTATTTAACCTTAAATCCTTAATATTTTTATAGTAGATAATTGAATAAATATAAATTTCATATTTAAATTTAATAAAATTTATCTTACCTCCATGTCAATTTTGAGGAGAAATTTATTTGAGTGTTTCATCCTGCCAATTTTATTAGTTTAAGGCTTACATTGGTGTGAAACGATCACACAAATAGCCTGGATGATGTGAGGGTTTATGTCGTGATGGACGACAACCTCAGAATCCTAAGACGAGTTAGGACTTATATTGTACAGAAGAGTTGTACAAAGGCCTAAAGATGAGGTGAGGATTTATGTTACATAAGAAAACTACCCCGAAGTCCTATGGTTCCTATGGTTTGGTTGTTTAATTCTAAGAAAGGAAATTGGTTTAGCTGGGGAAGACAAGTTTTGTTGTTAAAGATGGTCGTGCTGCCCACAATGCATGCTCTAAGCTCCTTGCCGTGACGAGTTTAAATTTTTTAGTGTGTCAAGTTAAGATGTTAAATCAGATGTCCCATACGCTTGTAGTTCTTTAAAAGTTATGGGGCATATTAAAGTTGATTAGAGCGACACCGGTTATGATCCTACGATTCCCTCATTCCGGTACCACTATTTTCTATTGGATTCACTTAGTCCAAATGAATTTACTAAACTCAACTTAATGAGTTCCATACATTCATTTATACTGTGGGAAGCCTCGTTAGCAACCGTAGGTTACCTCTTCCGAGAGATTCCCGATCATCCAATAGATTTAATTTAGTTGAAGTTGTGGTTTTTGTGTGATGTTTGTGATTAAATTTTTAGTTTTTTTATATTTTGAATGTTGTGGCAGTGAATTTTATCTTGGTTGATTTTAGTTTTTGTTTTGGTTTTGCAGCTATCCTAGCAGTTTTAGTTTTCATGCAGGGTGATATCGTTGTTTAACATGAAGGTTTATGTTTTTTTGTTCATACATGCAGGTGAGTAAGTACATTAACGTACTGAAAAGTAAAGTACGGGAGACTAGAAATTTAGGTAAAACAAATTACAATAAAAGTGTGCATGGATGGTCTTTTACCTGGATGGTTTTCCCGTCATCTTAAACTGAAACTCAAAATGCATGTGAGAGCATTTATATGTTAAAAGTATCAAAACTATGTTATGTAAAGCAGGAAGGTAAGGTTCTGGTGATCTACCAAATCCTAAATCATATCTTAGTGAGCCCCTATTAATTCATTTGAGTATAATTTCATTAAGCAGAACATACTAAGTTTAGTAGACCTCCGAGGTATCCAAAAGGTCGAGAGGAAGAAGCAGGTCCATGCTTCCCTCTCATTACCTGATGAAAAATCTCAAGCTCATTTAAACTTATTATGTTGCTTAATAATTCATCCTGTAAATACCTCTAGTGTTCAGTGAATATCATTGTTTTAATTGTCTCTAAGAGTAGGGTGATTATAATTTGTCATTTAATTTGAGAATTATATGGGTGAAGACCTTTAAAAGGGGCAAGGTAATGCTATTAAGACAATTAGCCAATTTCAGCTATAACTTGGGTTTGTAGTGTTTTAAAGGTGTTCAATTTTTATTTACATTCAATTTTCTAATCCTCATTTAACCAATCAAGTGCCATACCAGAAAAGGAATTTAAGCAAATGGTCAAACAAGTTCGGGAGGCTTTAACCCAATCTAAGAGTGGTGCATTGATTTTGAAGGGTAGACCCTACCTGGAGGAGTTTGATGTTGTAACCCTACCCTAAGGGTTTTGTGTCACCAAACTTTAAGATATTTAATGGGACCGAAGCCCGAAGCAACCCATAACAAATTTTCAAGCCAGTTGTGGTAATACAGGAGGAAATGAAGCTTTACTCTTTTGACAATTTGTCAGCAGCCTGACAGGGATCGCATTTGATTGGTATGCCAAATTACCCAACAGATCAGTCAAACCTTTTGGTGAGTTAGAACAACTACTTATGAAAAGATTTGTTGGAGCGCAACATCATGTGTCTATTGAAGATCTCATAATGGAAAAGCAAAAGCCCTAAAAGACTTTAGTGGACTATATTTTGAGGTGGAGAAGCCTTAGCATGAAATGTGAACCTCACGCAATTGAGATCTTACTCAAGGGCATCCATGGGTCGGTAGCTTTTATGCTCAAGGGACTCAGCATCAAAACCTTCGAGAAGCTACTCAGCAAAGCTAGCAATCTTTAAGAAGAGGTCAAACATATGGATTCTCATGAGAAATCCGAGAAGTCCAAGACAACAAGAATATTTGAAAAGAAGTCCGGAATGGTGGTAACGGTCGATAAAGGAAAACAACCAATGAAGATATATGCAGAAAATTATCATCAGAATTCTCGTCAGTCATCATTGCAACATGCTTGACAATAGACACAATAGTATGGCCGGTCTAGCCAACAACTGCCTCAAGGAGGGTCATACCAAATAGAAAACAAGAAAATGTCCATTATGGAACATAGGAAAGTGGTGTATTCCTTCATAGACGAAGCCGTACCCAAAATGTTCATAAGTCTGATGAAGAAGCCTGAGTTCAGACTACCAGATTTGAAGAAACACAAAGAGGTCGATAAGAAGGATCAACTGAACTATTGTCTATATCGCAGATTACTTGGACACACTATAGAGGATTGTTTTGTCTTTAAAGATTAGCTCGAGAAAAATCTCAAGGAAGGAAATAAAACGATCCTGAAGGAATATTTAAAAGAACCAGATAAAGGTTCCATAAATATGATTTCGGTTGAGCCAATCTCTCTGATTAACCCATATACCATAAAAAATGGATGGAGTACAACTTAGAACAAACTCAAAAGAATACTAAACCAAATCTAGAATGGTCAAAGTCTTGAGGCTGCCAATCCCGAGA